AACCATCTTTTTTTTTTTGTATTTTTTGCTTAGTGGCAAAATTTCATTTAAAGGGGAGCTCAGAGCATCACCAAATATAATAATAGTGTACAGTGTACTAGAATTTGCAAAGCAGTTTTCTTCCCACAGCTTTTCTCATTTCTTTCTTATAATCACCTTGAAAAATAGACAGGGCAGGGGTGTGAATTTATGTTTTACAAAAGAGGAAATTGAAATTCAAAGCTGTTGGTTATGTTAGTTAGTGATCACACAGCTAGTAAGGGTAGTTAGGGTCATGGAGCTAGTTAATGGCAGAGTTAGGCCCAGAGACCCTTTCTTCTGATTCCAGAGCCTGTGCTTCTTGGGTTCTCTTTGCAAACCTCACGGGCCCACACCTTTAGCTGCTGACTTCTTTCCGTGTCCCCTCTGATATTCCTGTGAGAAGTCGAGCAGGCTTATTACCAATTAAATATCCGAATGCCTGAACTGATGAACAGGAAATGAGGCTGCTAATGCTCATAGGAATGAAACTGAGATGCCTTTTTTTTCCTTTTAGTATAATTTTGGGCCAAGTGGCCTCTTTCTGTCCTTCCCTTCCCTGTGTCCTTCCAGTCTCCATGGAAACCCCAAATCAATGCGGCATATGTTGATTCATGTTTCTACTGTTACTAGGAAGTTACAAAGTGGAAATTGCTTTTAAAAGATTTGCGGAGAGCTTTAGCATGCTGATCAGAATTCAAGTCTAATATCCGAATGACTGTTTTATTGAAAGCTTTTAATGTGATACAATCCTAGGTGGTATGTTGATTAAATAAACACATGGGGCATTGGGCGAGAAACCTCCTCCTCCGCTATCATGGCTTTTAAAAATATTATATTGCAGACTTTAATTCCTTTTATCTTCAATTTAATTACATTTTTGGGTGAGGATGCCAGGTGCTCCTTTTGCTCTTGACTGATTCCACCCTGCCCTGACTGGGCTGTTGGGAATGATAGTTTGCAAATGCTGAGCTGCTGCCCTTGAGTGTCATTAGCACTAGGCTGGCTTCAGTCTTGACCTGGAGACAGCAGAAGTCTAACATGTTTCTACCATAAAGAACCCTTGGTAATTTTCCAGATTTTTTCATGAATGCAAAACCGAATTCAGCCGACATTTATTAAGTACCTGCTCTGTACAAGGCAATGGGAATTGATAGTGAGAGAAGTAGTCCTGGAATCTATCTTTGTGCAGCATGTAGTCATTTGGGAGGATTAAGAAACATAAATCACAAGGATGAACTTCAGACGGTGATGCGGATTGTCAGGGAAACACAGCAGTGTGGTGGTGTCGGGATGGAGCGGTGCCTTCTGATCGAGGAAGTTCTGAAAAAGCTTTGGAAAGGGGAATTTTTAGCTTGGAGGTACTGGGTTTTGAGGAGAAGCTGGGAGTTGAGAGGCAGATTCAGGGTGGGAACGGTCTGGGCAGAGGGAGCAGCCGAAGAATCAGGCATGTACTTGTGTGTGTGTGTGTGTGTGTGTGTGTGTGTGTACATATGAATGCACAATGGATTTGGATAAATAAATGGGACAACGTGATTAGATTGTCAGACAGGACAAGGGGCTGCAGTGGAGCCCATCAAAGATTATGTGGATGACCTGATATCTGTTCAGTGGGTAACTCTTGTAGTTGTATAGGTATCAGAGGCTTGTGGGGGATGGGGGCTAATGAAACAGGGGCATGAAAATCAGTTATTTAGGAGGGTGGAAGGGCATGCACTGTGCTGAGTACTGAATAATCTCTGACCCGACACTGTCAATGGATAGGAGGGGATGCAATTGAGACATAGTTCACAAATGTAATGACAAGGTTTAAAAACCAATTCTGCCAGGGGTAATGGAGGAAACAAAGCAAAAAATACCTGTACTTGTCATCCTGAGGGGCTGGGATGGAGTGATGTGATGAGCACACCGAGGGAGCCCAGCAGGGATGGAGCGTTAGGAGGGAAAAGTGGTCGTTCCAGAGGCAGTGGTGTCTGTGGGGTCTGAGAGGGGAGGGGCTGTCTAGCTGCCTCTGGGAAATTGGTCTGGAGCTCAAGAGAGGCAGGATGGAAATACTGATTCTGGAGAGAAGCCGTGGCCGGCGCCTTCATGGTGGGTTTCCCGAGATGGCAAGTGTAGACTGGGAAGAGAAGAGAGAGCCAGGGCAGCCTGAGAAGCCATAGCAGGGCTTGCAATGACTGTCTTCCTGAGGAAAACCATGCGGATCAGTAACCAGGAAAGAATCCGGAGCTCTGGATTCCTGCGCCTGGGCTCCAGGCCCGCGATGCAGAGTCCAAATAGGTGAGTGCCTGTCTCGTTAGCACTCCAACTGCTTGCCTTTTCTGTTTCTTTCCTTCAGGAGAGAAGGCCATGCAGAATGCTTACTCCTCGGTGCAGCTTAATTTCCCCCTGGAATTCTCTATGCACCTGTCTCTGTAGGAAAGAAGATTAAGTGAGAGACCTCCCCTGAGAAGGGGCCATACTTGGTCTGTGCTTCTCAAACTACGGTGCTGTGTGGTTACTCCTTGGTATTTAGGAGTGTTTTGGTTAAAAAAGATAGAGTTTGGACTAGTTTTAGTTTTAGTTTCCTCCTTTGACTCACAGCCGATTTATGTCCAAACACTCCTGAACTTCTGCTCTTTATATTCCTGTTCTCTTTTAAAATGTCATTAATTAACTTTATTAATTATTATGTCTTTCTTTAAACATTTGGGTTGGCTTATTGACTTCCTGTGACTATATTATTGCTCTAACAGTAATTGAATATTCTGGTTAAGGTTGGTCAGCCTCCACTTGAGACTCGGGCCCATCTGCAACCCTGACCTATCTCTTCAGTGCCCTTCAATCCCAGATGCCAGACTGGGCAGCCTGAGACCCAAAGGAGGCCTTTGTCCCACCAGTTTAGCACTGGTGGGGAGGTCCCATGATGTCACTCCCTTTGTGTTAAAGCGAGGGGCAGAGCGGAGGCTGGGAGCACGAAGTTTGGTATTGGACACCAGCTTTGCCACTTATACATGGCTTGTCTCTGTTTTTCCATCTGTAAAGTGGGGGTGATAAAGGTGTCGTCAGCCTTGTAAGTTTGTTGTAAGAGTTAAATAAAATAAAGGAAGTCTAGTGTTTGGCACAGTGACTGGCACATACCAAGTGCTCATTAAACATTAGCTATGTGCGTGGAATCCACGGATGGGTTCACCTCATGCTATAAATTTATGTGGGATTAGGGAAGTACCTATCAATAGGCTTCTAATCACCAGTTCATCTGTGTACCTGTTTCTTATGATACAGTACAAGGAACAAGTCCAGAAGTGAAGAGATTCTTTTTATACTTAAATTCTAAACCCCAGCCAGCATCTGGGTTCAAGGCAGGGTTTATGAGGATGGAAAACGTTTCTTTTGCATCTCACTTTATAACACTAAGTTCCTTTTACCTAACAGAGGGGCACTGTGGACATTTTCAGAGAGAGACAATGAGTCACTGTGGAGACAGCCTCAGAATTTTGATTTCATCCTATCATTTCACTGCGAGAAGCCAGGTTATGCACCAATAGATCTGCCCGGAAAGACTGGGTCCCAGCATGATGTGGTAGAAAAAATTCTGCTTCAAGAGTCACAGAAAACAAATTCTGGTCCTCTTAAGTGTTGTGTAGCTTTGAAAACGGCATACCATCTGCCTAGCCTCAGTTTTCTTATCGGTAACGCCAGAATAATAACACTGTCTCTGACTATGGCATGGGGTTGTTAATACATGAAAATGCTTTCTATATTGTAAAAGGATAGACAAATGGAATAGAATATCTTTATTAAACAGCCATAGCTTTCCATAGAGATTTGGCTGCCTCTAGCAAATGCTGCCTTCTGGGTTTCAGAACAGACTTGCAGCAAAGGCTGGGTGCATTTGGAGCTAGTTCCTGAGTGGGAGCAGGGGACCCAGCTCTAGAGACCTAGAGCAGAATGAGAAGCTAAGCTTTATGCCAAAGCAGTGGTTTGCAAACTTTAGCATGCAGCAGAATCACCTGGAAGGCTGGGCCCTACCCCCAGAGTTCCCAGAGTTTCTGAGTCTGTAGGTGTGGGGTTGGGGCCTGAGAATTTGCATTTCTAACACATACCCAGGTGATGCTGACCTCTGCTGGTCCAGGGACCACACTCAGAGAACTACTGCACTAGGGCAGGCAGGAAGAGGGAGTCCTCCTTCTGAACTGAACAAGCAGTGTGACGATCCATGTGGGTAAGGCAGTTTGGAAGAAAAAACATAGAAGACGGAAAAATTGGAATAATGTGCACATTGGGCAGAACAAAGGGAAAAGTCTCACTCCATAACATATGCAAGTAGGGGGAAGTTGCTAGGTGATGGATGAGGGAGAGGGGTGAATTTCCACTGTAGGAAAAACCAGGTGAGAGGCAGGAGCACAGAGTTGGAAATATACACGTTCGGGGAGGTGGAAATTTCTCATTAAAAAGTGAGGAGTGGTGTGGTGGGTGCTGGGGGTGTGGGAGTGGAAAAATGCCTCTGTAGAGTAAGGGGACAGCTGAGATGTGGCAAAGGGGGGTAATTAATTTCAGGGCTGGGCGGTTTGGCTCGGCACTGCAGCATAATAGAAATTGGGAGAAAGGGGGTGGAATTTAGATGTGTGACCTGCCCCGTAGCTTTCTTGCTCTCTGCATTTATCACATCACATCACACCCAGAAAGACAGCCCCCTCCTCCTGGCTCATTAGGAGATTTGATTCGGCTTGGCTCCTGCTGTCAGCAGCTGTCTGGGGCAAGATCTTTATGCTCCCTGCTCCCTGAGCAGCAACCAGCCTCCAGCCAGCAGCAGAGCTCATTAGAAGAGGCCCCCCTGGACACTCGATTTCACTGGTGGCAGGAAAGAGTTAATGCCTACGGCTTCGCTACCCCCTGCACAGCCTCTGGGTGCAGAGGGAGGCGGCTCTGGGCTGTGGGGACTTCTCCCTGAGCTTCAGCCAAAGGAGCAGGGAAGCAGCTTAGTGAAGCTCAGGAGGAAGGTGCGGGAGGAGTGCCAGGCGAGCTCTGCTCAGGGGCACCTCCAGCATCCTGCCAATGAGGATGGGCGTGCAGACTGTGCCCCGGAGCTGAGCCACCGCCTGCTGGGTGTAGGCTGCTTCAGTATTTACTGGATATGACAAACAGGGAAAAGAGATTTCAGCGGGGCTGCTTGCTGCCCGGCTTGAGTGGTGGGAGGTGTATAGTGCATGCATGCATGTGTAGACGTGTGTGCGTGCCCGTGTGTGCCTGCGTGTGCATGCACACATGCCTTTCACCCGCCAAGGATTTGACTGCTAAAAAAAAGATCTGCTCTTTCCCCAGAGCTCCTTAACCCGCAGCCTCTCTGACCATCCCGCTGGCAAAGACCCGCAGGCCATGAGGACTGGTCAAAGGCGGTGAGTATTGCCTTTGCCTTTGCATTTTCCTCTCCGGTGCCGTGTGGGCTGATTGCATTATCCATATCTAATTAACCTGCCTCTCCATATTGATTGCTTTCTCCCCGCCGAGGCTCTCAGTCTCTCTTCCCCTCTTTATAAATCTTTACTCTTTGCTTTTAACCTTTTGTTTTCATTGAGCATCCTGTTTCCATTATCACCCATCCTGTAGAGTCACCTGTAACTTGATGTCCACCTAGGAGGGCACATGTACTGTAGGTGTAATCACACTGTTGGTTTTCCTGGGCTCTGGATAACCCCAAACTCTGTTCCCCAAAAGTCAAGGGCCAAATAGGATAAGAGCCCTGGGGGTAAGGTGCTGGGGTAAATGAGGAGGCTGGGGTCAGAGAACCCTGCAGATTTTTATTCTATGGGCTCCCAGGCTGAGCTAATTGAAGGGACGCTGGAGGGTCTGAGGGACACTGGTGGGCACTGCTGGGTTGGGAAGAGAGGGAGGCAGGCATCTAAGCAGCTCCAGCAAGCCAGTGTGGGCTAGCAGTGAGAATGGGAAGAGTGGCATGGCAGTGACAGTTGGCTTGGTGATACCTGCCCCAAATGACCTTGCCTGCTGTGTATGTGGGTGGTAGTCCCTGGCTCAGCTCTGCTCAGGGTCATGAAAACCCCTGGCATGGGCTTCCCCCTCCTCTGATTCTGTATCCCACAAGCCAGAGAAAATGAGGCTTAAATGCCCAAAATAATGATTTCTAGAGACCCTTACAGCTATAAAAGACTTCTATCTCCTGACTTCTGAGCAAGCAGGTATATGCATGATTAGGACCAAGATTAAGGACATGTCCCTGCTGTCAGGGAACACAGCCTGTGTCAGTATTCTGGGGATGAGCCTTACGCAAAGTCTAATTTTTTTTTTTTTAGTTTTAACAAAGTGATCTCGTTATTTTATTAATTATGGTATTATTAGAAAAGGTATTTTTAAAAGTCTTTGTGAAGTGTTCCAGGTAGTATCAAAAGAATTTAAATGGATCTCGCAGGGGCCTTCTCTGTCTAAATTAGGTTTCTTTTAGAATGGATTCTATGTTTGGTGTCAGGGTTCCCCAGGGGATCCCTTTATGGATAGACTGCTGTCTTTACATGTTTCTTCCTATCAGTTCTCTTCCGTGGGAACAAAGGGTTTGAAGCCCTGAGAACGGGACCCTCAGGAAAGTGAAATTATCAGTCAATCAGCCCTCACCCTCTATGTCCCCTTTCCCTGATGTCCTACTGCTTCAGGTCAGGAAGAGGCCAGTCCCCAGGCTAAGGAAGGTTAGGCCGCCTCCATATGGGCGAGAAAGAGTGACTTGTGTGTTCATTTCTTCAGTCTGTGTCTGTGATCCCTGCAAGGGAGCAAGCCTGTGCTGTGACAGTGCCTGGCAGGCCTCCCCTGGAGTTACCCAGCCTTCTTCCCCCTCCCGCCTTCCTGAGGCTCCCACACTCTCACTTCTGGGACAGGTTGCAACCTTGGAGGGAAGTGAGAATCAGAGCAGCAGCCAATCGAATGTTTCTGGAGCAAATGCTGTGCCCCCCAACCCCCACCGTTCGCTGGCTGGTCACTTGGGCCCCACTCAAGTATCACAAAGAAAACAGTAATTTTGGGCTTGCCTGGCCCATGCCTTCCTCCCCAGGGTCATGTGCCTCACTTTACTGTGGATGGCCAGCAGCTGGGGAGATAGAAACTCCTGACCAGCAGGCAGTGATGTGAACCCCCCCCCCCAACAATTTGTTCCTGCCCATCCCTGGTTGGTTGCCCCGGCTCAGGCCGAGTTTGTGGGGAACGGGGTGTGAGTGGGAGGTATTCAGTTAGCAGAAGGCCATCAGACAGGATTTGTAGCACAGTCAGATAAGAGAGGGCGGCCCCCTCTTACAGCGGATTCTTTGATTTTAGGTGAGAGGACGTGAAAGGGTAAATCCCTGTGCCCCCCGCAGTCTTATCTCCCGCCCTGACGTCCCCGCACACCGGCCAGAGGGTTAGCTGTAAGCGGGTGCCTGTATGGCCGCCTTACTGATGCCGCGCAGGTAACTGATGCCAACCTGTCTTTTTGCCCCTGCCCCCCTGCTCTTTCTCCACCCTCC